TTAGCCAGGTGCTCCAGCGGGGTTCGAACCTACGACTGTTTGATTAAAAGTCTAGCTCTCTTACCATGGAGCTGCCCTCGATCCCGCATCTTGAAACTAGGTAATCGGAAAATCACCAACCGCCTTGCGTCTTCTCAATGTTGATGCTGTTAACGGAATACAGTCAAGACCAGATTCCAGCGCCCTTTAATATGCTTGTCCTTTAATTGCGGACACTAGGTAATACTCCTTCCACAACCACCTTCCCTCCTCTCGTTTCGCCTTTACTGTGCATTCCTCCTTAGCAGAATACGGGTAGAAGATTAGAACTCAGTCGACCGGTATTTTATAAAGCAGACTAAAAAGGAATCGAGCGTAAATAGAGCGGACAATTTCGATTTTATCATTTTTTCTCCTTTTTATCATACAGAATTATCACAAAGTCAGGAAACCCTAAATAGTATCATAAGAAAAATAATCTAACCCAGAAATGCATGTGACTAAATATACCCGTTCTTAGTTTCCTGGCTTTATGGCGAGCATTTGTTCATTAAAGACCTCTTTAGTCTGCAAAAAAATGTTGAGTAACCACCCTGAAAAAGGGGTATTTTGCTGCGTCTTTAATTACAGCACACTTTACTTCTCCTTATTTAGAACAAATGCCAGATGCAGTATCCGCCCGGCAACGAGATCTATCGGTGCAAGAACATATCAGTTTTCGAAGTGGATGGCTACTCCTCCAAACTCTACTGTCAACAACTCTGCCTGCTGGCCAAGCTTTTCCTCGACCACAAAACCCTCTACTACGACGTGGAGCCCTTCCTCTTCTACGTCGCCACGGTGAGAGACCGCTGGGGCTATCATCTGGTTGGCTACTTCTCGAAAGAGAAACGCTCAGCACAGAAGTACAACCTCAGTTGTATCATGGTGCTGCCGTCTTACCAAAAGCAGGCCTTTGGTCGCTTCCTTATCGACTTCAGTACGGTTGCGACAACTTTTATTTTTATTTGCTATAATTAGTCTACTTAAATGCATGCAGTAGCATTAATTTTGTTCTTTGTGTGCCTAGGTTACCTCCTTTCGCG